GTCAACCCTGAGCCGGTGAGATTTGAACCGCTGACCTGCTGATCTAGCAGTAGCCTGCAGTGCTGCTTTTAACCACTGCACCACCTTGGCTCTTATAAAAGTTTTGTAATGAAATATAAAACTTTGAAATATGAAATATATGAAATCCATATTATTTGAAAAGCTGAATTTAATATACAAAAAAAAAACACATTTCACAAATGTGTAGCATGGGAGAAAGGGAAGCTTTTTTGCTAAAATTTGCAATTCAAATAATTTAATATCATTCTGCCTGGGTTTTCAGACTCTGCCTTATGAAAAACTTCCTACAATATTTGAGGTTGGTTTAAATTTACCTTATTGGCTTCTTTGTAATTTACTGGATTTTGTATTCATATTCTATTAACAACTATGGAGAGTAGCTGTGGTTGGAAAGGCAAAATATATATATTCAATAAAATAGTCGAAACTCAGTGAATGGAGTAGATTTTGCTAATTTTACCAGCTAGGCAGCATGGATTCAATTTAAAGGGCTATTTAAAATGCAGGGTGCAATGTTTAAAATCCTAAACAGACTAAAGAAGGGGGCAAAATAAGAATGTCCTAATCTGAATCTGTAAATATTTCAGACTATAAGGACCATTGATTTCAGCCAACAAGGGTAAAAATGCTGATTCAGCTGAACAAAGTTTGTTCAACACATACTTTGGGCTTCTGCTTGAGAAAGGATAACTATGTTCTGCAATAAATCTTTATAAAACTCACTCAAATTTAAAAGACAATTGCTAGATGTAACAGTATTTTAGCCTTCAAGTGCATAGTCTAGAATTACATATTCAAGAATTGTTTCCATTTCCATTTTAAAACTATCAGTGACTTTTTGTATTTGCTCTAAGTTTTATTTTTTTATGCTCAAACTTAATATTTTTCAGTTTTATTTTAATATATGATACAGCATTTAATTATTTATTTTCACCTTCTGGCAAGTTGGTTGAAACTTTAGCTGAAATACATTTAAGCTTTCCTACTGGCTAATTTTTCTGTGTTGTTACTTTATATGCAGTTTAATGGGTTTTTTTTAATTGCCTGTTTGTAACTTTTTGTACTTTTGAAAGTTGCCAGATTCTGCCTCTCAAACTCCATTTTTGGAGCAGACCGATTTGCTTGCCTAATCATTACAATCTAATTTCTGTATGCTACACTATCTAGTTTCCACTCAATTAACGATATAAGAAATAAGATGTTTATAAAAGATATAAACATCCCTGGAGGATCATTTTGAAAAAAATTAGAAACAATAACTTAACACATGAAGGAAACTGACTTAATTCCTAATGCAGCAGATGCCACGTTTTCTGTCTGTTCTAAGAAAACAGTAGTTAGATTCCTGAAGAAACAGATAATTCTTAAAACTAGAGGCAACAAGATGTTCTGCATCCCTATGTTAAATCATGCCATAGTTATTTACCCTCCTCATAAACGCTGACATTTCATCTTCTAACTTTTGAACTATACTATTGAGCACAAGATACACTGCAGTGCCTTTCATTCATTGGATATTACCATTCAAGTAGTTATCTGGGATTTTTCATTTTTAATACCAGTCATCTAAATCAAAGCTGGCCACAAAATGTGTTGGAAGCATTTTCACTAGAGTGGGGGGGGATGTAACTTTCTTGGACACAGGCTGGGGCGGGGAGGGTCAGTACCAGACAGTGCAAGCCAGGCAGATGCAAAGATGTAAAGGTTTTTTTACTAGTATTTGTTTTGCCAGAAAATGTCAGAGCCTAATGTAAATGAGATTCCTCTCAATGAGCCATGGCTGCCAGGGACAACAGTTCATGGATTATCCAGCAGAGGATTATCCAGTTATTTGTCTGCGTTACTATATAATCTTCCAGGGAGTTGATCAGAACCGATACAGTACAAACAAGCTGATTCATAAAGCCACGCAAGAGAGGCGTTGACACCCTTTCACAGACGAGGCAGGGCACTCGCTTGTCCGAACTGGCCACCAGCCATGCACAGAGAACAGGGCCCGTCTTTCCAGCACACCCTTTGGCTCCGGCTCCTTCCATCTATTCCGCCCCCTCCCACTAGGGAGTCAAAAAAGGTTCACCCAGCGGGACCCGCGCCCGCATCGTCCCTAGTCGTAAATAAATACATACATACATACATACATAAATAAATAAATATAAGCAATCACGGCCACCAGCGAAGAGCTCCCGATGCGCGATAGAGGTCACTGTCCACGGACCAGGATCACGCAAACCAAGGGGGCTGATGCGATGAAGAAAGAGCGGGGCTAGGAGGAAAGAGGACGAGGCAGAAGGCGAGAATCTGGAAACCATCGGGAGGGGGGAAACAGCCCCGGACACATAGAAGGCAGAAGGGGACGCCGTCTGCGGCCCCAACCTTCGCAGCTCTGGGAAAGACCCGTAGCAAAGCCTTGGGGAAGGGGCTGGGTGCCCTCCTCCTCCTCCTCCTCCAAGCGCCTGCGCTCACCTCCCCCGATTGACCCCTGCGCTCTCCCCGCCAAATCAGCCCTTTCCCACAGCCCGACTCCCTTCCACTCCCTGCCGTTACCTCATTATCTATCGGTCTCGGGTGTCCTCCTCACAATCTCGGCCAGGGCGGAGAGGAGACGGCTGGGCCATTGCCTCCGCCAAACGCACCATTCCCGTCCCTCCCGCGCCCGCTCCTCCTCCTCCCGCCGCTGCTGCTTTAACCGCCGCCGCCTCTTTAGAGTCACCGCCGTCTCGGGGAGAAAGGAGGGGGAGGGGGAAAGAGACCTGCCCTCCCGGCTTCTTCTCCCTCTCACACGCCCGCTGTATTACTGCGCAACGCGGAGAGAGACCAATCCCCGGGCAGCCAACCGAGTTTTCCTTCACGCAGCGATCCCGCCCCTCTTCCAAATGACGGACACTCCCTTCCACCAGTAGGAAAGGCGGAAAGGCCGCCCAATTGATCGCTGTAAGCGCCGATTTATACGATGCCTGAGGGACTTTCGAGTTTGCACGTATCGTTCGTTACGGTTACAAAACGGTAGCCGTAGTGAATGTGGAAATGATATAAGGAAAAGGTATATAGAGCTGAAGTGCCAGCCCAGGGAAGGTCATTTTTTCTATCAGAAAAAAAGTACACATAACCTCGAACACCATTCAAACCAAAGCACTCGGATTTTCACGTGTCCACTCCGACTTTTCCACCCCAGCAATTGGAGGGGCGCTGAGAACTGAAATCAGATGATTCGCCAGAGTAACCGGGAAATGTAGTCATTTTAATTCAGAAACTCAAAGAGTCGGGAAACGCTCAAGATACGTCTGAATCGAAGATTCTTGCCCTACGGTCCCGCCTCTACTTTGAGTGACAGTCGGGTCGGCCAATTAACAGTTGCCTTTTCAGGGAACCCTTATTTGTAGGATTTGGCGATCGACGTTTCCGCTCCCGCGAGAATAAAAGGGGGGCCTCAAAGAGGTAATGGGCTTGGCGAGATAGTTGCGGACTCTTTTTTTCGCGTGGGTGAGGGGTGCTAGACGTGTGAACGGCAGGGAGTGAATGTTGCGATGCAGATGAACCCGTAACCCTCTCGTAATCACAGATAAGCCAAATCTGTTAAGGCGTGGGTTCCTTCTCAAAAATTAGAGGAAAAAATATCTTTAGCTAATAGGAATTCACATATTACGCTAAACTGTAACATAAATGATTGACCCTTAGCTTACAATATGATTGTTTAGGTTTGATCTGGTATATTATGTGAATTCAGGTTTTATTATTTGTAAATCATGGTTTAGTATTACCGTTTGATTCAGCAAAGAGTAATGTATACATTCAGACGCTGAATGGTGGTTTTGTATAGTAATCCTAAATTGAATTGAATTTATTATATTTCTATGCCGCCTTTTTCCCCAAGGGGACTCACATAAACTCACATAAATATTTTCTCATTGGCCCAATGAAAAGTTGCATCCACACAATGGATTAATCTGTAAATAAATAAATTTATTCAAACCTATACTATTAATTAGGAAGAAAAATACTGCTAATTTTATTCTAATTGTAAAGAAAATGCACTTTGGATCCAGTGCTATGTTGCTTATTATTACCATTTTGAAAGGAATAACACTGATGCATAGTTAATAGTTTTCTGAATGAATCAAATTGTTTGTATTTGCACAATAGGCAACCATAAATTTACCATGTTGGATGTATTGTGCAGCACATTGAATCATAAACTAATCACAGATGCATTTTTATAATAGTTGCTTTTGGAGAGAGGGACGGCTATACAAATTTAATAAATAAAATAAATAGCATCACAAATTGGAGTCCAATGAGGAGGTAGCATACTTCTTGTGAGCATGTCATTCAACCTAACCGATGTCACATAACAATTTGGCATCAGTTTTGGAATGGGAAATAATACAGAAATACCACCTCTTTTACCTTTATATGTAATGTGTAGGTTAACATCTACAAACTTTTTTTGGGTAAAACTTTAAATTTACCAAAACTTACCAAATATTTAGATAGAAATTGTTTAGGACTACTGTATCTGACCTGAAGATTTTCTAACATCTGAGTTTTAGAGCAACGATACTTTATTTTCTTCTCTGAATTTTAAAGATCACTATGAAAGGTTTATATTGGCAGCAGAATTCTGAAAAAGAAAGAGAGTTCATCTTCCTGGAAAAGGTGAGTTACATTGCTATCTTATCCATCTATTCAGAGTTCTGTATTCAATCAGGTATTTCCCAGGGTTAAATTGAACAGTATATCTAGCCACCTAAATCATGCCTTTTTGCTCTGTTTGATCTTAAGCAGCCCTTTGATTTTAATTTTAAGTCATACGCTTAAGGCATCTCCAATCAATAGAGTTACCGTACTGCACTTCACAAGAATATTATCCTGAAAATGAGATATACATAGCAGCCACCTCTCCAATTCAACACCAACTAGTAAAAGGATAAATAAGGATGCATTTTGTACCTGTTATTATTCAAGTTTTACAGCAGTGTGGTGGTAGGTTATTTCCTCAAAACTGGGATATAGACACATATACTTACAGTATACTGCTTTATATGCATATAATACTGCAATATTATTGCAGATACTAGTTGACCATATGGGAACGCACCTATTTCTATAAGGAACACTTATTACAGATTAACTATAAGAAAATAAAGGTCATGCATTTGTGTTAAAAATGGACTTTGAGTCTCGAGGAGCATAATATGCAGCAATGTTCCATTTGTTAAGAATCTGGGCTTATTACTGCAGTATTTGGAGAAGAGACAAGCTTACACTGCCTAGGTGGCTTTGGATGTTCAGAAGAGTTCAGAAGCAAGTGTACCAGTTGCAATCAAACTTTTTGAAACCAAGACATTGACACAAGTCCCAGACAAAACCCAACTAAACCCAGGCATCAACTATTACAAACCAGAAAAATCTATTTCTAAGATAAATGAAACAATATTGCCCATGTTTAGAGGCAGAGCTCCTAAAATTGAAACAATTGTGTCTAATTATTTGCGTTTAAATATCAAATAAATTTTAATTTTCAAGCTCAAGATCTGATGCATCCTATTCTGACAGACATTTTTTTCTTCTTCATGGAAACAACAAATAGAGGAGAAATTACAAAAATTGGAATTTTTACCTGAGCTGCTGATGAGCTTGGGACAAGAAAATGTTACTTATTTCTCAGGCAACAAATTCCCAATGGAGAATTACAAACCGAATATAGTATGTTCTAACACACAGGACAGGTTAGAATAAAATGTTGTTTATGTTTCAACACACTTTGGCTCACCTATAAATAATACATTTAATAGGGGTTTAATGCTATTGAAGTTTGATATCTTGCCATCAGCTTTGCTTTCTAATTTATTTCCTAAGTTTCAAAAAATCATCAATGCAGAAATGTTTTACCCTTAAAAGGATGAAACTATCAAATCACAGACTCATATTTTACTCTATTGTAATTTTGTCTGAGTTATTAAAAATTGGCTCCTAATACCTCTTTATGCTCTTTGGACAGAATTGTATATTTAGGGAGATATAGATTGTATATTTGGTGAATAAAGATCCAAGAATAACTCTCACAGTAACTAAATAAAAGCTACTGTATATACTCGAGTATAAGCCTAGTTTTTCAGCCCACTTTTTGGGCTGAA